CGAGACCCCAGCGATCTTCCAGATCAACAGCAGCGAGGCTTCGAGGGTCACACGCACTTGTTAGCATCCGCCTGCTTCTGCCTGGGGCGGCGTAAGTTGGCGGACAGGAAAAGGAAGGGCCGCGGAAGCAGGCGGAAGCAGCGCGACGCAGGCGGAAGCAGGCGGAAGCAGGCGGATGCGGAAGCAGGCGGAAGCTAACGAGCGCCTGCAAATCCCGAGCGCCACAGGTCACGATCGAGTCGGACAACAAGTTCCCCAGGCCGCAGAAGCTCGACTGGCGCCAGACAAGACACGCTCCCCGCACAGCACACGCCAAGGGGTACGCGATCATGAATCGCGAGCAGATCGTCAAGGGCGACGCCCTCGAGGCGGGCACGGTGCACGCGCTGCTGGGCGAAATCGATGAGCGAGTGGACGTCCCCGACAATGCGCAGGCGGTCGAGCCCACGGTGGCCGTCGCCTGGGCTCGAGAGGGCCAGGGCGAGGGCGCGCCCGCCGCCCAGCAGCCCGAGGAGCAGAAGCGCTGGGCCGAGAGGGTCGACGAGGCCCAGCACGCGCTGGTCTGCGTGCACTCCGAGGCGCCCGCGCGCTACACGCACCTCAAGGTCGGCGGTTGCTGCAGTGCCCCCCCGCCCCAGGGCGCCTCCAGCGGCTCGCCCCAGTTAGGGGCGAATGTTGGAGGCGCCCTGGGCAGGGGGCACTTGCGGCAATTCCCGCCGGGTCGCGATGATCGACGGGGGCGGCGCTGAGGCGGGCCACCGCGACGCCCTCGAGCAGCCGCTCGAGAACGCCAAGCAGGCCCAGAAGGACCACAGGCGAACTCACGCTTACACGGCGATTTCTGAGGGTGTACGGTGGGGTTCACGTTGCTCGGGAGCTGCCGAGCGAAGTGTACCCCGCCCTTCTCCTCCATAGAAATCGCGGGTAGGCTTCGCACGTGGCCTCCCAAGGCCGCCGCGAGGGTCCTCCGCAAATTCGGCGCCTTTGGCCCTGGCGAGCACTGCCCAGCACGGAGCAACAGACGGTGCCAAGTAGACGGTTGGAGCTGCGGCCTCTGGGCAAGTCGCTGGATCGAGCGCGCCCTGCGCGAGATCCGAGGCGAGGGCCGCCAAATGCCAGCAGCTCCCCACGCCGCGGTCGCTCGGGGGAACGCATCAGCAAACTCAAGGAGGCGAGCGACAACGACGCCGCGATGGCCAAGGCCAAGGCCAAGCACGAGTCCAGGCCTTGCAAGGGCCCCGCGGCGGCCGAGCCGAAGTACGCCACCCACGAGGGGGCTAGCGCCGCCGCCCAGCTTTTCACCAAGTGTCTCCCGCTCAAGGACGACTCCAAAGGATGCCGCGCTTGCATGGGAGAGTGGTTCGAAGTCCTGCGCAAGGTGGGTTTCTTGGCCAGATCGGCCACGGACCTCTCTTGCGCTGGCAAAATCTAGGCACCCAGCCACGAGCCTCGATATCGCTCGAGCCAGCCATGTGTCCTGCGCCTCTGCGGGCAAGTAGCCACGATCCTCGAGATCTCTCGAGTAATCTCTGTATAGTGCGCCTCTGCGGGCAAGTCGCCGCGAGCCTCCAGATCGCTCGGGTCAGGCTTCTGTCGCGCGCCTGGTTTAACCTCCTCCTCCTCCTCCTCCTCCCCCTCCCCCTCCTCCACCATCGTCGTCACCATCATCATCATCATCATCATCATCATCATGACTTACCTTCCCCGGTAAAATCCAATATTATCCCCGCGGGAACCGCGAACTTTATTATCCAAAAGGGGTTTATGATCGCCCCTTTCTAGTGTTATTTCATAATTTGTTTCAGATGTTTGTGGCTTCGGGAACGCGAATATTCTGTAATTTACATGGGTCTACGGTTTCGGGGGCGCGACTAGTGTATATTTACGATGTTTACTGTATAACCGGGGACGCGAAGATTGCGTAATTTAAGCATGGGTTCTGTAGGATTACGCCACATCCGCCGACCCCTATGTAAATAACTGCGCCCCTAGGACTGCATTTCACGAGGCTTGTCCGAATCATGACAGTGCGTTCGACGTCATTATTGTGGCCTCGCTGTTTTTATCGTACCTCTTGGTGCTCTTTTGTTGCCTTTTGGTGGCATCTTGGCTTGTCTGCAGGCCATATCCAGCTGCCTCGAGGCATTTTGGGCCAAAGTTTGGTGTTTCTTGGGGACCTTTTGAGGTTCTCTTGGGAGTCCCTCAGGGCCTCTTGGGTTGTTTTTGGTGCGCGCTGGGTGCGTTTTGGGGCCGAAGGCTCGAACTGATGTTTCCTGGGCTCCGTTTTGGAGCCGTCAAGGGGCCCTCTTGGGCTGTCTTGGGGTCTTCGGGAGCTGTTGTTGGACCCTCTTCGACCCTTCTTGGGGGCCCCTTTGGCCGACTGGGGGCGATATTGAAGGTTTCTTTGCCCGTCTGGGACGTTGTGGAAACCGAATAGGCGAGCATGCGACACATGCTTGTTTTTTTGAGGGAATGGGACGATTGTTGTTTTCGGGGGCCTTCTTGGGGCGCAGCTTGGGGGCGTTTTGGGGCGTCTTGGCAGCTTCGGAAGCCGCCTGGGGGCCATCGTGGGCGTCCAAAACGATATTTCGGCGAATCGTGGCCCCCTGGGACCGTCAGGGGAGCGTGTTGGTGCCGTCTTGGCCTTTTGGAGCCTTTCGCTTCGCTGTGACGCGTTCGGTCTGGGGTCGCGCTGGACGGGGGGGGCCGGGTCGAATTGGGGGGGAATTATCGGGGGGGATAATCTCACACGCCTAGAGACCCACAAGGGGTCGGCGGATTATGGCTTCGGGGACACGAATATTGCGTAATTGACTCAGGTTTATGGGCTCGGGGACGCGAGCATGGCGCAATTTACAATGAATTATGGACTCGGGGACGCGAGTCTAATTTATTTCCACGTGTCACACGCACCCCATGGAATTCGGACAACGCGATCTGTGCGTGGTAAAAATGCTGGTTTGGGGCTCCCCCCCTCGCGCGTTCAGCAACAATTAACAGTAGGGGAGCAGACAGCAGGACTGTAACAGTGAAAACTGGAAACTGCAATTGGAGCAGGGAGCTGCAAACCTCACCCTCGCAGCTGGTGGCCCCGCAGCGGGGGGCCGGTGGATTTCATTACGCCCCTGGCCCCCGCCCCTGGGCCGCGCACAAGCCTACGGCCATGATTTGCGCCCCCCCCTCTTGGCCGCCACCGAACATCCTCCCCTCTTCTTCCTCGTGTCAACCATGATAGTTAGGACCGGGCAACTTTCGAAGGCTACCCTTGCATCCCTGCCCCTTCGGTATTCGGCATCCTTCGGCATTCTGCCGCGTTCCGCACGGAAAACGTCAACATGGCGCTCCAAGGCTCTTGCATCCTTACCGCGCATCCTAGTTATTATCCTGGTCGAGTGTACCGCCTTCCGCCTTCCCCCGCCTCCCAGCTCCACCTCAGCCTCAGCTCGCCTCTCGATTGAGAAATCAGCCCGGCGAAGGACACAGCCCTGCAGGAACGGCGTGCAGCTACAAGCTGGAGAGGGGAGTGCCGACAGGGACTCGGGGACGCCGTGCGAGCACGCCCACTGGACCCATCGGTGGAACTTCCTGTGGGGCACGACACGTGTGAGGGGTGCGCGCAAATTGGCGCGGGGGCGCCACGCGAGCACGCCCACTGGGGCCACTGGTGCAGCCCTCCTGTGAGGCACGACGCGTGTGAGGGGTGCCGAAATGGGTGCGCCATGCGGGCGCGCCCAGCGGGGCCATCGGTGGAGCTCCCTTGTGGGGGCATGAGAGCCTGAGGGGTGTGCCGAAGTGGGCGTGGGACGCCCTGCGGGCATGCACATAGGGGCCACGGGCGCAGCTCCCTGTGGGGCACGAAACGTGCGAGGGGTGTGCCGAAATGGGTGCGGGGACGCCATGCGAGCACGCCCACCGGGGCCACAGGTAGAGCTCCCCGTGAGGCACGACACCTGTAAGTGGTGCGCCAAAACGGGTGTGGGACGCCATGCGGGCACGCCCACTGGGTGGAGCTCCCCTGTGGAGCAGGAAACGTCCGAGGGGGGGTGCCGATTTGGGCGCGGGGACGCTATGCGAGCACGCCCACTGGCCATCGGTGTAGCTTCCTGTGAGGCGCGACACGTCGTACAAGAGGTGTGCCGAAATGGGCGCGGGGACGCCACGTGAGCACGCCTACTGAGGTTTTCGATGGAGTTCCCTCGTGGGGCATGAAACGACTGAGGGGCGTGCCGAAAACGGCGAGGGACGCCATGCGACCACGCACATTGGGGCCATGGGTGCAGCTCCATGTGGGGCACGAAACGTCTGAGGGGTGTGCCGAAATTGGGGAGGGGGTGCCATGAAGGTTCACCCTCTGTGCCGTGGAGTGCTGGAGTGGAGTTCCCCGGGGGGCAGGACATGCACGCGGGGTGTGGCGTCGAAAGGAGTACAACAAAAACAGCAGTTTCGACGGCGATGGGAGGAGGGAAGAGGGACAGGAGGATGAAGAAGGAAAGGAGGAGGAGGAGAAGGAGGAGGAGGAGGAGGAGGAGAATGAGAAGAAGGAGGAGGAGGAGCAGGAGGAGCAGGAGGAGCAGGAGGAGCAGGAGGAGCAGGAGGAGAAGGAGGAGCAGGAGGAGCAGGAGGAAGAGCAGGAGAAGCAGGAGGAGCAGGAGGCGGAGGAGGAGGAGTGGAGGAGGAGGGGGAGGAGGAATGTGGGGGAGGAGGGGACAGATGAGAAGGATAAGGAGAAGGAGGGGACGCGCTGCGCTGCTGCAGCAGGCGCTGCTGATTCAAAACGAGGGCCCAACACTCAGGAGGGCTGGTAAACAAAATGCACAAGCATTGACAGTCGGAGGGGCCCGCGGATTTTGTGGATGTTTGCTTGGCCCTTTGGCGGCGCCTCCGTCGCCGCTTCTGGCGTGTTCCGCGCCGATCCAAAGGAGCCGCGCGGACCCCCGAAAGTTCATGCTGATGTTGATTATGTGTCCATCCTCCTCGCTCCTTCTCCACAAGGGTGGCAGCGCAATCTCACCATTCCGAGGTCGGGAAGTGTCCGTACCCACGACTTTGGAAGCCGATTTGTACAGGACATCCAGAAGCAGTGGATTTGGACATGGTCGGGCCCCAGGGGGCTCAACGCTTTCCATATCCATTGCCTCCTGGGGTCCTGTGGGGCAACGGCTTCCAAAGTGGTGGATCGTTATATGAAGTCCTGCTTCGCAAGCATCCCCACGGTCTCAGTCGCCTGGACAACCGAGCCGAGCTTTGGCGCCGGCGTTTCCTTTACGATTTCATCGCGAGCTGGTATCGCGGATGCAGATTTTTTAGTGTTGCCACCATCAGCGGACCAGCTACACATGGGGAAGTTGTGGTCCTTACCCCCCCGGCGGATCCATCGGCTTCGACACCACTTTCGAGAGATCGTTGATACGATCGGTGCCCCTCATGGGGTAAGCAAGGAACGCAGCTCCCCGAGCGTGTGGCTGGCCCGACTAACTAGGCCAGCAATTCTTTGTCCGTCTTCTCTTGTATCGTGTGCGTTTTGCAAAGTTGTCTGCACCGGCGAGGTTTCCGACGAGGCGCCGTCAGAGCGCGCGAGTCATTCCGATGTTGGAAACTGACCGCAGGTGTCATCCGGATAGCGATCAGAAAAGTGATCTTCGGCGGAAGGTTGACCTCTTCTAGCACAGCTTGAGGATTCAATTCGCATCGACACTAGGGGAGCTCGTGGCAGAGCTGGTCGACGAAAGAGCTTCTCCATGACCGCCAATGTGTGTGCAGCCGGCCACCGATGTCGCCAAAGCGTTCTGGTCAACTGAACACCGCTCCGAACAAGTGTGATGCAACAAAAGCAAAAGTGATAAAACAAACAAGTGTGATACAAAAACAAGTGTGACAAAGTGTGATACAACAAACACTTTCTTTTTTATCTCACTGTTTGTACCACAGTTTTTGTTTTGACTCTCGTGCACCATGCCCAGGGAGCGCTCGGGGGTGGACCGAACCCCCACCCTGACACGTCGATTAGTGAATTGTCCGTTCTCGGTTCTCCAGAGGGCGCCGCGGCCGTCATTTTCCAGGCTTGCGCCCGCCAGGTTTGGGCCCGAGGTCGTTTTCACTAAACCACGTTTTACTAAAGGGGGGCCTGTCCATCCCCGGAGCGCGACCAGGTTGGAGCATGGGACCATGCTTCGAGGAGGTCCTGCTGGGGCCACGGCGGCACCACCGCCCAGGCCCACATCCCCACCACCTTCGGGATCCGCCTTGGCGTGTTTTCCTCACCGAGCGCGTTCCGCTGCTCGCAAAGTTCGGCGGCGAGCGAGGGGGGGACGTGAGAAGGAGAAGGCCTTCTCAGAAGGCGGCGGGACTTCTCAGAAGCCCTCGCGCCTTCTGAGAAGTTTTTATGTATTCGGGGAAGGCTTAGAAAACTTCTCAGAAGGTCGTGGGACTTCCGAGCCTTCTGAGAAGGCCCGCCCCTTCTCACTTCCCCCCCTCGCTCGCCGCCTAAAAGTGCCTGCTCGCAGACGTGTGAAAAATCATATGCTTGCCTCGATGGAATGTATCGTGGATCCCTCGCGGCGAATCCAGGCCATTTGCGAGTAGCTACCCTACGAGTAGTGGAACGCGCTCGTCGATTTCCGAGGCGGATCCGACCGCTGCGACGGGAAGCCTCCAGCAGGCTCCAAAGGGAGGACAGACGCGGGGGGTCGCGGGCGGAACGCATACAGACGATAAACGTAGCTGTATCCACGGCCTCGCGGGCTGGGCCTCTGGGCCGCTACCCTTGTGGATACTTTTTTTGTTGTTCGTGGACGCCCCGCGCGGAACGTATCCATGCGACCGCGTGTCCACAGACTTCTGCCCTGGAATCCAGCTCACGAAGTCGCCGATATGAATTCAGGACACTTCGCGTGCCCCCTCCAGCCCATCCAGAAACTGTTTGCCAGGCGAGTTGCCTTGATCAGGGAAGTGTAGAAGCAAGCAGTGAAACAACCGCCTTGCAAGTGTTTTCTCGGAGGTCTCTTGGAGCTATCTTGGGTCTCTCTTGGAGTCCTTGCCGAGCCACTTGGGGCATTTGTGTGGTTATCTTGGTGTTATTTTGGGGTTCTTTTGGGGGTTCTAGGTGCCCTCTTGGGGTTATTTGGGGGGACACGGAGGCGTCTTGGGGCAATGTTGGGCCCCATTGTTCAGAAAGATGGGTCCTGAATTCAGCCCCCTCCCCTTGAAGGCTCCAAAATGGCGTCTTGGTGCTGTCTTGGGGCGGCGGTCTTGGGGCGCTCTTGGGCGCTCTTGGGGCCATCGTGTGTCCCTTTTGGGCGCCTCATGGTGCTCTGGGGGGCCATCTTGCGGCCATCTTGAGGCCTCGAGGGCCCATCTGAAGCGAAAATGCGAGAAGGCAAAACAGATAAACGTTCCTCAGGTTTGGGGGCCACGTTGGCTTCTTGGGGGCATCCTTTGGCGGCTCGAAGGGCACTTGAAACAGTCTTGCGGCCTTCTTGGAGCCTCTTGGGGATATTTCGAAAACTATCTTTCGCCATTTTCGACTATCTTGAGCCATCTTGGAGGCAAAATAGGGCTTTCTGAGGCCCTCTTGGAGCCATCTTGAGCCATCTTATCTTGTACGCTCTAACCCTACGCGGGGGGGCCCTTTCCAGACCCAGGGGAGGGGGTAGAGAGAGGGGCCAAGCTACCCACCCGCCCGCAAGCCGTCTAGCTTACTCCCACCCGCCCACCGAACACAGAAGTAACACCCGAGCGTGAGCATGTTCAGCGGTCGTCTTTGGATGGACAGCTACTGGGAACCAAAGCCGACCCTAGGTGCGCGACGCTTGAGCGAGGTGCGCCACGCGTGCCAGGGGCGCCACGCGCGCCGGGCACCCCTGGGGCCCGAGGGTGCCAGGCACGCCTGGTGCGCCAGATGCGCCACGTGCTCCGAGTGCGCCATGTGTGCCGCACACTCCAGCCGCGCCAGGTGCGCCACGTTCGGGGCACGTGCAGAGTGCGTCAGGTGCGCCTGCGCAGGTGACAGCACACATCGGGAAACATGTCGGCTCCCGCCATCTTTGTCGAAAAACAATGCCCACCATTGTGTCTGGTGGGCCTGTGCACAGCAGGCCACGCGCCACCACCCCGCCGTCCCTGTCAAAAACCGCTTGACAGTGATCGCGGGATGGCCGCGCATGATCCAGATTTAGTCGCGAGGTGCATGTTGTATTTTTTTGTTGTCAGGGATGGTAGCCCTGCGCACAGCAGGGAATATGCTGACACACCCGCCGTCCCTGTCAAGAACAATAGAAAGTGTTCGCGGGCTTCACGAACATAACTCAAGACTTTGCCCCAACATGTACGTGGCATTGTTTTTTGAAAGGGATGGGGGGGGGCGCATCGGTTTGGCCGCGCATGCTCCAAATGTGGAGGCAGAGTGCGGTTTCTTGGGTTGGCCGCCGGCCAGGTGGGAGAGGAGGTGTATATCAATAAGGAACAGTGATTACCCCTCCACCGAGAAGGGGAAGGATGAATTTGGGTGCAGCGAGACGACACAATTCGTCACACCACCTACGCCCAGGGAAGGGAGGGCAGTCGATGCTTCTGCTGGCTCTCCTCCAAAGCCCGTCGCTCGGATGCCAGAAGAGTATTCTTCAGGTTGTTCAGTGAGCGTGGGGGGGATCGCGGGAGGGTGTAGGAAAAAACTGTCCTTCGCGGTGCGCGGGGGTTCGGATCGTTAGAGGATGTGGATTCGGTGGGTGTTGGGGGTGCCAGAACGGGCCGTTTGGCGTGGTGACATGCGGGGGGGGGCGTGTTGAATATCCTGCAGTGCGTTTCTGCATACATACACACAAATGCACAGGTGCTTCTATGTATATACATATACACCTGCACATACACCCCTCAATTTGATACCTACGTATATGGGCACACGTGTATGTACACGTGAATGTGTGTATGTATAGTTGTATGTATGTATGCATGCATGCATGCATGCATGCATGCATGCATGTATGTATGTATGTATGTATGTATGTATGTATGTGTATATATATATATATATATTTGCGTATATATAGTAGTAGTGGTTATAATCATTAGAACGCTAATATACACGAGAATCGGACGCCCGCGGACCGCTTCTCCGCTCAGCGCATGGCCGCAGCGCTTCTGCGCCGCCCCGGCGCGCCTGGCTTGCCGCGGAGGTGGTGGCGAGCCCAGCGCATGCGGAGGAACGATCCGTGGAAATCCGGTCGCTGCATAATAAGGACACCTTGAACCATAAATACATCTAGCTGAGAAGTGTCTGTCATGCTGCTGGCCCGCCCCCAAGATCACCGTTGGCAACAAACTCGTCCTTTCCTTCCCAGTAGTGTAGTAATAGCAGCAGTAGTAGTAGTAGTGGTAGTAGTAGTAGTAGTAGTAGTAGTAGTAGCAGTAGTAGTCTTTGTCGTAGTACTCGAAGTAGTCGTGGTCGCAGTAGTCGTAGTAGTAGTAGTAGTAGTAGTAGTAGAAGTAGTTGTAGTAGTCGTAGTCGTAGTCGCAGTCGTAGTCGTAGTCGTCTTCGTATTAGTCGTAGTAGTAGTAGCAGTAACAGTAGCAGTAGTAGTCGTTGCAGTAGTAGTAGCAGCTGTGATAGTAGTAGTAGTAGTAGTCGTCGTCGTCGTCGTCGTCGTCGTCGTCGTCGTCGTCGTCGTAGTTGTAGTAGTGATAGTAGAAGTAGTAGTCGCAGTAGTAGTAGCCGCTGTCATGGTAGAAGAAGACGTAGTAGTTGCACTAGTAGTAGTAGTAGTAGTAGTAGTAGTAGTAGTATTCGTCGTAGTAGTAGAAGTCGTAGTAGTAGTAGTAGTAGTAGTAGTAGTAGTAGTAGTAGTAATAGTAGTAGTAGTAGAAGTAGTAGTAGTAGTAATGGTATCAACAGCAGTTGTGGTAGTAGTTGTAGTAGTCGTAGTAGGAGTCGTAGTAGCAGTAGTAGTAGTGGAAATAGTAGTAGTGGTAGTAGTAGTAGTAGCAGTCGTATGTGCTAGTAGCAGTAGTGGTAGTAGCCTTCGTAGTTGTGGTAGGTGGTAGGCAGTAGTAGTAGTAGTAGTAGTAGTAGTAGTAGTAGTAGGCATGTAGTAGAAGTAGTCGTAGTAGTGGAAGTAGTCGTAGTAGTAGTAATAATTGCAATTGTACTTGTAGTGTCAGTATTAGTATTAGTAGCAGTAGTAATAGAAGCAACAGCAGTAGCAGTAGCAGTAACAGTAGCAGAAGTAGTAGTAATAGTAGTAGTAGCAGCTGTGATTGTAGTACTAGTAGTAGTAGTAGTAGTAGTAGCAGCAGTAGTCGTAGAAGTCGTTTTCGTCGTAGTAGTAGGAGTAGGGATCGGAGACGTAGTCGTAGTAGTAGTAGCCGCCGCAGTCGTGGTAGAGGAGGAAGTCGTAGTAGTAGTAGTAGTAGTAGTAGTAGTAGTAGTCGTAGTAGCCTTTTGTCGTTGTACTCGAAGTAATCGTGGTCGCAGTAGTAGTAATAGTCGTAGTAGTAGTAGTAGTAGTAGTAGTAGTAGTAGTAGTAGTACTTGTTGTAGTAGTCGTAATCGTAGTCGTAGTCGTAGTCGTAGTCGTCTTCGTATTAGTCGTAGTAGTAGTAGTAGTAGTAGTAGTAGTAGTAGCAGTAGTAGCAGTAACACTAGCCCTAGTAGTCGTAGCAGTAGTAGTAGCAGCTGTGATAGTTCTTGTAGTAGTAGTAGTAGTAGCAGTAGTAGTAGTAGTAGTAGTAGTCGTTGCCGTAGTTGTAGTAGTGATAGTCGAAGTAGTAGTCGCAGTAGTAGTAGTCGCTGTCGTGGTAGAAGAAGACGTAGTAGTTGCACCAGTCGTAGT